AGCATTAGTATGCACATTGATTAACTTATGTAATTGAGGCACTGTAGAGCAAATGTATCCATTGTGTGTAAACCTCTTTACTTAATTGGCTTTGAAGACAAAGTCATAAAAATTGTTAAGGCAACTAATTAAAGTTAAATGTTTTTTAATAACAAAAAAAAAAATGCAATTTTTTTGATTTGAATTTTTTTTTTTTTTTAATTTAGAATGCTTATTTCAATTTTTTATTATTTTATACTGTTTTTATTATTGAATTTTTTTTTATTTTGATAAATTTGTATATAAATTTGCATCAAATTTAATGCAGTTTAACTGAAAAAGTTTTCTTCAGGTTGAAGGCAGAAGTAATGATTTTATGGCAATGTTTGCTTCCAAATACAAAAATATTCACACAAGTTTTAGTGATAATATACAGATTGAAGACAATGGGTTTGATTTTATCTTTGTATAACTAAAACATTAAACTGACTTGAGCTACTTAAAACTTTGATTTTTTTAAGATTTTAACAGTCTTTTACAAATTTTAGTCAAGTTTTAGTTGTTTAAACAATCCCTGTCCCTTATCAGAACAAAAATACATTACATATTTTTGACTTCATTTGAATTCTATTGATCAGCTTAAGTTTTAACATAATATTAATTTTGCCATGCCATGTTTAGATTAGGTAAGACATAGTATTTGTGAGTTAGGTACCAATTTAGGGTTATTTTTGTTACTTATTTCAAATTACTGTGGTTATTTTTTGGAACATTCTTGTTTGACTTTAGTATCTACCTTAACATCTTTTGAAGTTTTTTAAAAGTTGAGCACCAAAAATTCTTACTTCTGTCCTGACATAAATGGTAAACTTATTCTGTACTGAAACATTTTATAACTTATATAACAGTTTAAATAGAATATAGCTTTATCTAGCAATACATTTATTTATATGGACTGATTCTTAGAAATATTGATTGCATTTTTAAAACCAATTTTTTTTTTATTATTTTTTTATACTTAATCACAATTTTTAAGGGAAAATAACAAATATAGTTATCAAAAGTTTTAATTTTTTAAATGAAATTAGTAAGTTAAAAGGTATAAAGTAATTAATTTTTTTCTTTAATTTTTCTTTTATGTAAATTTTTCCAAACTTTTTTATGTTTATACTTAATTCAATGAGGAAAAAAAATAATCAGAAGATTAGTAAATGACCAAGGTTGACAGTTGAACATGGCTGGGTTTGATAAAAAATTGCTGGGGCCGGGTTTGCAACAGAATTGCAATAGAATTGCATAAACATTGGTACATCCTAAAGTATATTTATTAATTTGAAATTTATGTTACATTTATATATATATATATATATATATATATATATATATATATATATATATATATATATATATATATATATATATATATATATATATATATAGTATATATATATAAATGTATATATATATATATATATATATATATATATATATATATATATATATATATATATATATATATATATATATATATATATATATATATATATATATATATACATTTATATTTATATAAATCAGGGCTCAAAATAAGCATATAACAAATTGCAATTGCTTTTCACAACTTCGCAATTAGTTTTTTCCCTAAAAAAAATATATATATTTTTTTTTAATAATTTAGCAATTTTTTTAGTGATTCTTAATAGTAATGTTTTTATCAAAGTTTTTTTATTAGGGTTAACAAAGTACGTCACACTAAATTTATCTTTTGAATAGAAGCATGATTGCTCTTTCACGCCAAGATTTTCTTTCAACATAAAGCATTCCATGCCAAATGGGCCAAAATTTTAGGATTTCAACATGGAATCCTCAGATTTTGATAAAGCTGGGTTTCTTATTATTAATGAAAAAAATGGGTTTCTTATTATTAATGAGAAAAGCAATACCTGAATATTTCAGCATAAATTCTTTTGTGGTTCATGAAATATGTTCATTTTTAATTTCTGATTTTTCCAAAAATAAAAACTTCAGTAGCAAAAACATGCTTTATATTTTAAAAATAAAATTTCTGAAAACCTTCTAGTTTTTTTTATTGTATACAATTTTAGACTTATTTTAACAAAACTTTGACATTGAATTCTCTAATGTCGCATTTTTTCCATAATGGATACCTAAAAAACCTTAATAAATGTTTGCAAATATAAAAAGTTGATTTTTGAGTCAATATACTGAACCTACAGTTTAAGAAGTGAAAAAACATTTTTTAGTTTCTATATATGGTATGCTTCCAAATTTTATGAAATTTACTGATAAGATACAATTCATATAAAAATTATCTACTTCTAAAAAGGGCTGTGCCTGAATTTTGAATAAAAAATGTGCCTCCACTTCAAACCACCAGTAACCTAGGATCAACACTGGCTTTAATAAGATTTTTATTTTCTTCTAGTTTAATAGACTTTATTACAGTGACTTCAGACAAAAAAATTAGGAGGTACTTATGGCGAAGTTACAAAATCAGAACAATGAAAAATTGCCCAAAATCTATTAAAAACAATAAAAATAAAGTTATTGTTGTAATTTTGTTTGTATTATATATTGTAATACAAAGTATGTATGAATTTAAAAGTATTTCATAATCAGTACTAGAAATAAATCTTTAATTAAGCCTGAATCAAACCCAGTTTTTAAATACCCTAGCTCTTTTCTGCGACCTCCCCCATTCATTTACTTTTTAACATGCACATTTTCTCCCAAAACTTAGAAAAAGATTGTAATTGAACACTTTTCTATACATGATGTGTCTGGTTTTATGTCTGATGTATGAAGTGCCTTTATGTCTAAACACACCACTAAAAATACACTTATAAAAACTGAAATTTAGTTTTTAATGTTTTCATATAAAACTTATAAGTAGCCTGCTAGGTAAAAATGGAAAGAAAGACTATTAGTCTAATTTAACTTATATTTAATATCATGACTATAATTATTATAACATTTTTCCAATACATTACCTATTCCACCTCTCCCCATTAATTTGACTTATTTAATTATCAATATCAAATTTAGATTACAATTTATATGCCAAGTTATAAAAGTTATTTAACTTGTAAACACAATGCACAAGTTGATTATGTAATAAAGAACATTATTATGTAATAAACAAACAATATAAACATTGAATCTCTTGAAAATAGTTTTGCTAAAAAACTAGATTTAAATCAAATAAATCAAATTTATAATATTTTTGCTACGTTGTTATTTAACTGTCTTACTTATGCTATTATATAATGAAATAATTTATTTTTTTCTTGAGCTGATAATTCATACCATTTACCAGTTGTTGATTGAACTTTTAAAGATGAAATTTTGCATAAAACGTGCATTATTGGAACCCAGAAAATATCTTCTTTATGTGGCCAAGTAAAAGTGTTTAAGGAAATAGACTGCGTCATGAACTTGATAAGAACGTCTTGATTTTCTTCAGATATTTCCACAATATTGCCTAACAACTATTTTACATCATAAAAACATGCTACATTAATTCCTGTTAAAAAAGAAGCAACTAGAATTATATGCTGCATTTTTAGGAACATTTACATTATTATATATAGATATTGTCAAATGACACCCATGTCATCTGTAAAGTAGATAATGATTATGGTATAAAACAATGGTGCCTTCTTTTTGAATTTCCTGGAATTGATGAACAAGTAGCATAACGTTCTTCTAATTTAAACTCTATGTAATGTAATACAATTGCATCATTTGAAATCTATTGAAAATGCATTCATTTGATATTTTGTCTACACCAATCAAAAATTTTCTCAGTTGAATTGATAGGATCTGTAAGTGATTGTAAACTGGCCTTATTTACAAGTCTTTTGAGAGTGCCCCTAACGCCATCATACGCACTCTTTCCATGTGATGTATCAAAAAAATGCCATTCTGCAGATACTTTATAATCTAGTTCATGGTGACATAAGAACTGCATTTTAAATTAAAAATTGTAATCTTCAGCAAAGTCTAGTAATGCTAAATTTAATACGTTACCAAGTATGATAACTTGGTAATGTTATTTTTAGATGCTGCAAATATGTTGCTTAAATTTTGGCTTTATAATAGTGGTCTCTTAATTAGTCTATTTGATGACAAGCTTTTTCAATAAAATCATACACTGGAAGGATTACTGGAACTATATCATGTTTTTTGTTGGCTTTTTGCCACTCATTAAAATTGATATCTTCCATGCTGTGTCTATCAAACAAAGCAGTAAGATACTCTTTAAGTGTGTTGATATATAGGCAGTTATTGTAACTGTGCAGCATGCTGTTTCAATTTGTTAAGTCACATACAACTTATGTCAAGAAGTCTTTATAGTCTGAAATATCTGGTATTTGTAATGCTAAAAGTTTTGCTTTCTGGTGGTACTCACAAACACATACTTAATGGAGACCTGAAACACCTCCAATAGGGATACACTACTTTGGTCTAAGTTTTTTAGCTAAATTCATTTAAATAATTTAATGTTTATATTGATTGTTTATTACATGATAATGATCTTTATTACATAATCAACTTGAGCATTGTGTTGACAAGTTAAATAACTCCTATAACTTGGTATATAAGTTGTAATCTAAATTTGAAAATGTTAATCAAATAAGTCAAATTAATGGGGAGAGGTGGAATAGTGAACTTCTAAATTGTATACAATAAAAAAAATTAGAAAGTTTTCTGAAATTTTGTTTTTAAGAGCTTCAAAGTATGAACAAAACATGTTTTTGCTATTGAAGTTTTTATTTTTGGAAAAATCAGAAATTTCAAATGACTATATTTCATAAACCACAAAAGATTTTATGCTGAAATTTTCAGGAATTTCTTTTCTTATTAATAATAAAAAACCCACTAAGTTTCATCAAAATCTGAGGGGGTCCATGTTGGACCCTGGTCCATTTGGCATGAAATGACTCATTAGTCATTATATTATATTACTTTGGTCATTATCACATTTGCTATGCCACTGGTTAATTAAGTTTAAAATATATTTTTCAATTAATTAAAAAAGGTTTTTTCAATTAACAAAAAAATACTACTTTGCTTTAAATGAGCTTTGTATGCTTATTGGCAATTCCTGCACGTATTGTTGACCATATTAGAACAGCAAGATCCACACAACCAATCACCACAGGATTCGCAATGCATCCATAATTGTTGTTGAGCTGTAATTTTAATTAGCTCTAAGAATCATCAGTTAATTTTAAAATTATGAACAAATTTTTTATTCAAATAAAATACCATGGTGTGTATCCATTTTAAAAATGTCAAATTTTACTGGTAAATTTTCAGGTAAAATTACCAGTAAATTTTACATTCACAAAACTTATCTACATTTGACAATATTACTGCTAATTGTCTCCTTTGTTGTTTATCTGTAAATGACCAAAGTTAGAGTA